TGCTTTTTAGTCCCGCATGCGTTACCCCTTTTTATAACCCCAAAAAAATACCCGCATTCGAAATTACGGAAATCTATAAATGTTCAAAAGATTTCAAAAAGGCAAAAAGGGAAATAAATTGATTGATACATATAGTTCTCACCATTTACTGTATTAAAATGTTTTGGCACCATTTAAAATCCTGTTGTCTGATTCTTATTTTAATGTGAATCAATGCTATGGCGTGTACTTATTACAGACCACCAATTAAAAAAACATACCTGCCTCGTAGTTTTTTGGGGCGATAAAAAAAGAAAAACGCGTGCCTGCCTCATTAACTTTTTTTTTAATTGGCCTGAGAAACGAACAATTAATTTTGTTTTGCTATAGTTGTTACAGAGTACGTGGCAGGATTTCATACATAACTGTCCTCACAATCATTGGGTGAATAACGGTCGTGCGTATAAGGTGAATATACCGTAAGTATATGACGGTTCTTCTGAATCTGGTAAGTATTAAAATAATTAGAATACTCGAAATATGATTTTGACATACCTGACCGCGTGACCGATATTGTAATACTATTCCCAACCGTATATATAATATATATATATATATAATTATATACCTACGTTCACTTACACACACGATCGAGGACTCATTTGCACAGCCACAATAATACGTACGCGCACATGCACAATCACAGGCTACATAGGAAATGCACATGTAAACGCACAATAAAGGCCCACGCACACGTACACACCCTCGCAAACGCACACACACGCGCGGTCGCATACATGTTTTCGAAAAAGCATTGCCTTAAACTTTTACTCGCTCTCGTATACTTGCTTACACGTCGAGACGAGATCAGGAGACATTCTAACCAAGATTATCGCATGATTGGGCTATATCGTGACATTTTAGCTAATTAAACCGATTATGTTGTGTTCTTACCATGTTAGCTAATTAAACCGATTATGGTCGAGATCAGGAGACATTCTAGCCAGGATTATCGCATGATTGGGCTATATCGTGACATTTTAGCAAATTAAACCGATTATGTTGTGTTCTTACCAGAAATATATTTGTAAGAAAAACGTGTTTATATATAGTGACTAATATGGCTAAATACATCACCAAACACATATCCGAAAGGAGTGATGTTAAATAAGCTAAAAATAAAAAACCTCTTTAAATACAGTTATTGTGTGAACGCTGATTGCTTGCTATATAAGCTATGCATGCAACGCAATTGTACATTTACGTCTATAAGCTACGTTTATTTTAACTCACGTTGTGGCAGTCTCTGTCCGGGTGCGCGGGCCGCGTGATTTTTTTTCCCATTCACATAGTGGCATTAATTTGCATAAGCGGCGCTGATTGGCTGGCGGTTTTGGTACGATATTATATATACGACGATATTATATATACGACGATTTTATACGATATATACGATAACCCTAACCCTAACCCTAACCCTAACCCTAACCCTAACCCTAACCCTAACCCTAACCCTAACCCTAACCTAACCCTAACCCTA